CTCGGTGTTTGTCATCGGGATTGGGTTTTCGTCGCTTGGCAACGGCGTTGTGAAACAAGCCAATTCACTTCGTGAACTCGGCAACCAGGATTAAGGACACAGGCTTCCCTCTTTGGGGGGAGGCCAAGGTCGCGGTAGTCTTTACCCTCTACTAAGGGCTGGCATTTATCTTCGTCGAGATTGAGAGAGGAGAGGGTCTCAGAAGAGAGAGACAAAAGAGAGAGTGCCGCCGAAGGGGCGAGGGAGACCAAGCCCGAGGGTCCCGGATTCCCAAGCTTCACAGGTGGCGCCAAGAGGGACGCATCCATGGTCGGGTCTCTTGCTGATCAACCATCAGTAAGATCCTTCGTTCCGATCGTATGTGGGTCCTACTTGTTTACGTGCAAAAACAAAGGTTACAGCACTTGTACATCTGTCATCCACATCAACCCCCCCTTTATGCGCCACAACTCCATCGTTGCCAAGGATGTATTTTGGCGTTTCTAGAGGCCTTGGGCGATATACATACATGGAAACAGGTGTGTTGGAAGTATTGTCATACTGTGCTGCAACATCTTCAACCGTGTCTGAGTCAGATTTTCCGTGCTGAGGAAACACGAGTTCGTCAACCTCAGTTGAAGATGTAGTCCATAGCAAAAGTACAGAAAATCATACTAAAAAAGTTTGGAACTGATTGCTGAATATACCATGCCCGGGAAAAACAACTCTTTGGCTACAAAACAGTTAACCGATGTCACGGAAACTGGTAACTCATTTAGCCAAAGAGTTGTTTTTCATCGCACGCGTGGATCAGGCGCTTGCTGGATGATAGTGCAAAAAGGTCTGTTGTCACAAAATGACACTCACGGAAAATTGGTCGCGTGGCCAACTGTGTTAACATCTTGATTCTGTCTTGTACTTGAATGGATCTTCGTCGAAAACACACTCAAGACATAAACGAGAACCAAGGAGTGGACAACGTAAATGAGGTGCCGGTGAAATCGATCTGTCGTTCGCTTGTTGAAACCGTAAAACGTATCCACGCGTCGCGTGGTTTCCGTTGGTTTCTTGAACAATGCTGACAGCAACAAAGACATACGACTCTCTCCTCGCCAGTGTTTTTCCCAAGTACACTGAAAAAATATAACAGGGTGTACCAAAAAATGAACAAAAA